ATAAGTTTTTCGTGGTTCAATTGAACTTTTGCTTGGTCGGCTTTACCGGAAGATTGTTTTGCTTGGTTTGATTTTTGGTACCGTTCTTCGTATCGATCGAAAGTTGATTTCCGGATTTATACTCTATCATATGGTAATTTGTATCGTCCGGTAGTTCGTATCGAGGGGGAAGACGGCTTTCATTTGAGTACCTCTTTTAAGGCCCAAGCGCAATGAAAGCGGAAGCGGAACGGCAGCGACAGCGGAAAAGCCCGATCTGAGTAAGCCTACTTGTCGCATTGAAAACTAATTAGAACCAATTCTACATCGGTTAGGCTTCTTGATGTCATTTGTGACAACTATCAAACTTTCCATTTCCGTTCCGCTTTCGTCCACATTGCGTTTGGGCCTTTACTCAGAGTTGCTCAGAGTTACTCTGGTTTGCTCTGGGATCTGATCTAATTTGTGACGAAAGCAAAACTAGTAGGGCATATAGTTTTGGAATCTGACTATGCAAATGTCAGTTCGATAACGAAACGAACACAATGAATGAAGAAAATAAATGGAAACAATTTTAAATTAGGAAATAATCTTGTTTTCTACCAGTTCATTGAAGTTTGGGCTATTTTATTAAATCACTCTGATGATGGCTTTCTGCAGGGCACTTTTCTATTTGCAATGATAATAAAATTGACCAGGATCTTGCTACCGTAGTACTGGGCATCCAGATGCTTAGAGCAAGCGAATTGATATTCCCTTCCGGCTACCAGCTTCGGTGGGGACATGTACTTGATGATGAGTTCTGTGAGGGTCTCGGTTGCTAGGACAAGAAATAAAAACGTAAAAACTATTCCACCAAACCCCCACATACGCCCCCCCCCCCTAGCCCCATTTATTTTGTATCAAAATCTTATTGTGTGATGTTTGTTTGCTAATAGCACAAACGAAGTAACAGACGACTAACTGGCGAAGAAATCCATTAAAATAATGTGGTTCACTGTAATAGAATTTTATTGGAAGCTTGTGCCATCATCCACCAGATGGGTTAGTTTTTTTGTTTTGATTTGTCATTTTTTTATGCATTTCAGTTTTGAGTAGAGTGAAAGAGATAGAACCATAGAGGTAACTCTAAGACAAGTAGGTCCCGAAGAAACGTGCTCAACTTTTTGGCTCACCTCTGGTACTATCTTCGGTCCCAAGCTTGTCGAATCACCCCTCGAAACATAGGAAAAAACAATAACCCCTCATTTTATCTGTCAAACTTTCATAGCGAATCAAAACAAACATTACGTAGTACTAGAATTTCGACTAGAATAGGGTACGTTATCGTTTGCTTGGGACCAATAGGCTACACGGATAGAAATCTCCTTATACCTTTTGGCAAATTTCCATTGCTGATTATTCATAAAATGTATAAGTCAACTAATAAGCAGACGCCTTGCAAAAAGTTAATAAAGATCATGTGTCAAATGAAATGTATAAGCGGTCACACATACCTTTTATGCATTCTAATAGGACCTATGTGGTTTGTTTTATGGAATGTATAAGGCTGATGCTTTGGCAAAAATGTATAAGTGAAACACATGAATTAAATAATTGATTTTCGTTTCGTGTACTAATGTGGTGAGCCAATTTAAAATCGTTACTTTCATATTGATTGTTGATAGAACCAAAACATTCCAGTACATTTGGTGAAAATGCTAGTTCAATCTAGTAGTAGTGTTGCCATGTGGTACAATCCAGTAGTAGTGGTGTTGCCATGTGGTACACTGAAAAATTGAAATAGCAGGTTAGTCACCAAAGTTTTCGAGCCGCTCCGTCTGTCACTTCGTTTGTGCTAATAGGTTCTCCGATGAATTGAGTGTATTTTACGGCATACATCACCGGCTGAAAAAACTAACGTTCCTTGGACAGCGCTGTCAAAACAATCGAGATAATGAAATCGTTCATCAGAGAGCAAAAGAGTTCCTCAGAGTTACTCTGGATTGCTTTTAATTTCTCACTGTCTTCCCCCTCGGTTCGTATCATCCGGCAGTTCGTATTCGGATTAATCGATTGTTTCGTCCCCATGGAAAGGGAGGAGTTCTATGCTGATCTGGTCTCCATCCAGTATCCGGTAAGTCCCAGAGTTCAACACGCTGGAGCAAAAGGTAATTATTGACAGATGTTTTTTTTTTCTCTCAGGCTTAGCCAGTAATTTTTGACAGTTCAGAGATTCTGCGATTTACGGAGTTTTCAGTTAAATTAAAAACTATTAAAAACTGGGTTGATTACTGAAAACTCAGCTGTTTGAAAACCCAGTAAAATACTACCGACTTCGGTAACATAAACTCCGTGTGTAGTAACCTCAAGTCCGTGCTCGGTCACAATGTAGGGTCTAATTATTTAAAATTTATTATTTAATTAATTAATTATTCATGCTAAGCTACAAAGCATTAGAAATTTTTTGCTTCATTTCAACGATCCCAGATATACAGACTTTTGTACGCGATTAAGGTGGACACTATCTTTTTTGAACCTTTGTAACTTTAATTATAATAACGATATTAACTAGTTATTGCATTAATTCTAGCTTCAGGATATACTTCATTTGATATTTTTAGGATACAATTAAAAAAGGGTGACCACTCTTTTCGTGTACAGAAGTCTGTATACACGGTAACCGCAAAATACCCAATAATGACTACAAAGTAAGCATTTTCGAGGGAAACTGGGACTACCCATTAAATGAGTAAAATTTTACCCATTTATGAGTAATTACAACTACAAAAACAAGTAGTAAGTATTCATTTTTGAGTAGCAAATACTCATAAATAGGTAATATATTTACTCATTGAATGGGTAGTCCCAGTCTCCCTCGAAAATGCTTACTTTGTAGTCATTATTGGGTATTTTGCGATTACCGTGTATATGGTATCGTTGCTTCATTTTAGTAAAATCGCTCAAAATTGCTCGACAATAATACACTGGAGTCGCTTTTTACGCGGTTTTTTCTTACACGGTCTTTTTTACGCGGTTTTTTTTTACGCAGATTTCGGAATTTACGCGGTTTTTTTTACGCGGATTCCGGAATTTACGCGGTTTTTTTTTACGCGGGACGTATCACCCGCGTAAAAAGCGACTCCAGTGTATAATGAATTCTCTCCTAACGGCGATTCAGAACGACCCATATTTGAGTTTAGTTCACTCAGAATCGCCTAGTGCAGGAACTGTGGACCTTGAAACCTCACAAATATGCCGGAAAATGAGGAAATTGACGAAAATTTTATCCAGTCTAGGAGTAGTACCAATAGACTGAGTGAATCCAATCTTACTTGTCTCATATTCGGGATTTTTCTTTCCTGAAAAAGAAAAACAGGGAAAACATTAGGCAAATTTACTCATCGCTGAGTTCCTGCACTTCAAGTGATTTATGAGATAACTAAACACAAATTCGATCAGACCACTCAAAATTCGCAAATCAAAGTTGGCACTCGTGGAGAATAGAAGAACTATGAGAGTGATGATGGTTTCAAAATTTTACACGATGAGGTATTGGCAAATCAAAGTTGGCACTCGTGGAGAATAGAAGAACTATGAAAGTGATGATGGTTTCAAAATTTTGCACGGGGAAGTATACGAGTGCAATCTTAAAATGCTTTTATTTTGAAAATGGAGCATTTTATTTAAATCTGGTTACTGCTACAGTGGTAGAAAAGCGGAAGTCTATGTTTACACCTAAAAATCTGAAAAGAAATTAAGTTTTCTGTATTATATGTCTATTGAGTAGTCCTGAAGTTTTCTACTAACGTAGCACTTACCAGATTTAAATAAAATGCTCCATTCACAAAATAAAAGCATTTTAAGATTGCACTCGTATACTTCCCCGTGGAAAATTTTGAAACCATCATCACTTTCATAGTTCTTCTATTCTCCACGAGTGCCAACTTTGATTTGCCAATAGACATAATTTCGTCAAAAATATATTAACTGAAAAGTGAATTCAGTGCCAACATTTCAAAGGGGCGTAATTGCTTTTGTAAACAATGACTTTAGCCATCAATTTCTCGCGAATGAAATCTTACCTTTTCAAAATAACAATGATAGCTGGTAGAGGAAACATTCCTCTACCTAATGGTGTCATTATTTTTCAAGAGTGAGCTTTTATTCGCGAGAAATCGATGGCTAAAGCCATTGTTTACAAATGCAATTACGCCCCTTTGAAATGTTGGCACTGAATTGATTTTTTCTGGCCTCGAATATACACGGCGAATGAGAACGACCCAAATTTGAGATTAGTTCACTCATAATCGCCAAAAGTGCAGGAACTCAGCGATGAGTAAAATTTGTCTCATGTTTTCCCCAGGATTTTCCAGGGAAAAATTCCCGAATTTGAGAAACGTAAAGATTGGATTCACTCGGTCTATTGGTACTTTTGAGAAAAATTTACTCATCGCTGAGTTCCTGTACTTTTGGCGATTATAAGTGAACTAAACTCAAATTTGGGTCGTTCTCATTCGCCATGTAAGGAAATCCATAAAAATTTTACTCAGTCTAGGAGTATACAGTAATCCACCCACCGGCATACATTGAGGGATGACTGTACGAATAGACTGAGTGAAACTTCTATCGATTTTCCTCATATCCGAGAAGATTTTTTTTTCTGAAAAAAGCCCGGAAAATTGAACAAACTGTTGAGTAAATCAATTTTGACAAAATTGAGTCAACTCGACTCAACTTTGAATGATCTGATCGACCGTGCAAAGCTCAAACGAATGAACTTTTAACATGGAAGCTACGAAACGATAATTATTCTCTCTCTCCTTCTCGTCTTTCATTTTAACAGAAAGAGAGAACTTATCGTTTACTCAACCAAAGTTGTTTATGTTTTCGTCTAGCTGTCAATATGCTCTCGTTTCGTCGGGCGGTGCGTGTGTGTGCGCGTGTGAATGCCGATGTGGACGACGGACGGGACGGCATGCAAAAGCGAGTGGGAGTAATGTTTTTATGCTGTGCTCTCATCTCGTTCCGTTCGTTCCGTCTCTGTATGCGGTTCGATTTATGCTCCATCGGGAGTGTTTCGCGACGGGCAGAAGACGACGGTATTACATTAGGAGGAAAAAGCACCACCGAGAGTGTTCGCGTAAAGGTGAAAAAAAGGCAGGAGAACCATTTATTTGGGATTTTATTCTGACTGCAATATGTTGATTTCGGCAGAAAATGTGCTGTTTGCTTTGAAGTGCAAGTAAATTGTCCGCCGGGATTCGGTCAGTGTTAAGCCATTGCTCCGGGCGCTATATTCTGGAAGTGTAGACCCGTGATTCCCGTTAACCGTTCTCGTCCGATGAGTAGGGAGTGTATGCGTTCCGAGTGAAAAAAAAATAGAGTAGACTTCCGAGGCGGACCAACCAAGCAACACAATGGCAGGTGATTTCTCTGGCTGTACGGCCCGCAAGAAGAACCGTGCCCAATCGGTCGAGTACAATCCGGCCAAGGTGGACAGCGGAGAAACCTCGAAGCAACAGACCAATCCGCTGACCACCCGGAGCGGGTTGCGGGTGTACAAGATTGTAATTCTGGGCGATGGCGGCGTAGGGAAGTCAGGTAGGTGTGAAAGGCCATTGCGCTATCGCTCCCGGTGGGTGTGGGTGGTGTTTATGGGTGGTATGGGATGGGTGGCTCTCCGTATAGAATGACGTATCCGACTAGAAATATGACGCTTATCGCGCAAAATTGAGAAAGTGTCTCTTGCTGGAGAGAAATTGTAGATAGCTACTCCCGATGTTTTCATTGCTGACGGTGGTGAACCGTTCCGTGATGCGGCTACCTGAAGATCGATTCAAGGTTGTGCGGAAGGAAGTTGCGGGAGAAATAGAGAGAGAGAGAGAGAGAGTTTATCTACGCATAGAAACGCATTCATATTTAGTGATAAATATGACGATAACAACAAGGGCAATAGGGACAGGTGAATGTCATTGAAGGGACAGAAGGGTGGCACAGACGACAACAGGCTCCATACACCTCCGCATTTGCAGGGGTAAAAGCTTGTAGGGAACGATTAGGTTCCGGGATGCTTTCCGGTTTCCAGTAGACTCTACTTTATTTCCTTCGGATGCCGTTACCTCAAATAATTTCCTCCGAATGGGATAGTCTGCTTGATTCATATTCAATCAATAATTGTTGAAAGCCCCTATTTACTGTGACAGTTCCTTCCTTTGGAACTATCAAACTCAAATTCACTTTGAATTGCTATCTGAATTCATTTGAATTTACTGTCGGGATGCATTTGATGTTTTACAAGAATTTCCTGGAAATAGTAATGTAATTCCGCGCAATTTTTTCTTTTAAAATAATTATAAATAGTATATAATTTGGATTGAATAATTGTATATGATACCTGCCTTAACTACTTGTGTGTGGGAAAAATATAAATTTAGATTAAATTATAATAGGTGAAATCGATGTAACGTCGGCCTAAATGCTCCTAATTTGGGCCCATACATAAATTCAGCAATTGACTAAATTTTCTATGACGCGTTCATCTAGATAAAATTGATAAATAGCAGATTTTTAGCGATGGGCCCAATCTTAGATCCATAGGCCAACATTAGGGCCATTTCCCCTATATGTACTGCAAAATTTTGGTGAAATGCGGAGTTGTGGTACTTTGCGTTACATCAGAATTTCTTTGATATTTTAATCAGAATTATTTACAGAATTGTCATTGAATTCTCAAAGTTTTCGCTCAACTTTTCCTCAATAGTTTAACGAACTTTCCATATTTTTTTTAAATTTAGTTCTTTTATTTAAAAGGCTCAATCGTGTTAGCTTTACAGAGCCGATAATTGTTCATTGTTTCGTAACAAAATTTACTTAATTAAAGGTCTAGTGGGAGTTGGGCCGAATACTCGCGGCTTACTCGAGGAGAGTGGTACATTGTCGAAGGATAGTATCAGGGGAGGAGCTTGGAGTGATATCGTTGTCGTCAGTATAAACTTTTTATATTAATTCAGTTCGAATTATCCATGAAATTCAGCGTTACTGGACAATTTATATTCTAGTTGGAATGCTGTGAAATTATCTTCAGATTAAAATTCTTTTGGAGTTCTCTAGAAAATCATGTCAGAATTGCTTTGGAGTGGTTATACCAGTACTAAGGAAAATTTGTAGAAATGTTTATACTATTCCATGAAAAGTTGTAGGATCATCCTTCTTTTTCGCATTTCAAGCTTACTGCTTATCGCATATTAGCTTATTGCGTGGTCTCAACTTCTTAATACTTTTCCACAGTTATTAAGACAATTATACCATTTTTCCATTGGTATAATTGTGTGGCAAGTACAATCATACTCCATGCCCAGGGATGTCGAGAGATTTTGCAACCCGAAAAACTCCTAGACCAGACCGAGAATCGAATCCAGCCACCTCCAACATGGTCTTGCTTTGTAGCTGTGCCTTTATCAACTGAGCTAAAGGAGGCCGACGTAATCCTACCTTGGAATTAGATTGAATCGTGCCTTGGGACTCGACAGAATCAATTATGGAAATTCATAATAAAATATATGGATATTCGATTGGAATCAGTGCCTTGAAATCTTAGGATTCGGAATCCTACCTTGGAATTGAATTGAATCGCGTCTTAAGATTCGACAGAATCTCGTCGTGGCATTCGATAAAACCTCACCTTCAAATACGATAGAATTACTCCACGGTATTTGACAGAAACCTATCTTTGATTCGTTAGAATCTCTCTTTCAAATACACAAGAATTTCATCTCAAAATTTAAAAAAAAAATCTTGCTGCAATTCAATTTAATAACACCTTGGAATTCGAGATGTCCTGGGAATTCGACCGAATTTAGTATTGGAATTCGAGAAAATCTAGCCTGGAGACTTGAACATACTGACACTAGCGCACCTAGCGGTAGAAGGCAAACTTTTCGTGCAGTTTAAATGGCCAGCATGGTTTGATGGTGTGAGTGCTCATAGAACATCCGTGTGAAGCGCATCCACAAGCATCGCTTGGTGAAAACAAATTTTCCCCCAATTTGTAATATACTGATTTGTTCACACTTCCACTTCTGTTCTGTGCTGGAGATCTTAGGATTTAAATAAATCCTACCTTGAAATTTAAACTAATCCGCTTCTTAGGATTAGACAGAACTCCGCCTCGGGATTCGACAAAATCTCGCCTCGCCATGAGATTCGACAGAATCTCTCTTTGGAATACAAATAAATCTAGTCAGCGATGGAAATCAATTTCGTTGGAATTCGGCTGAATTCCACCTCTGGAGTAGCAAAAATCTTATCTTTAGGTTCAACGCAATCTCTCCTTGGAATTCGACCGAATTCAGCATTGGAATCGGATAGAATCTAGCCTTGAGATCTTGGAATTTGATTGAATCTGAGCTGGGAATTCGATTGAAACGCGTCTTAGGATTCGACAGAATCCCGTCTTGAGATTCGATACAATCTCGCCTTGAGATTTGATGGAATTGCTCCTTTGATTCGACAGAATATCTCTTTGGAATTCAGAAGAATCTTGTCTAACGATTCAAACAAATCTCGTCTTGAGGTTCAACAGAATCTCTCCTTGGAATTCAACCGAATTCAGCATTGGGATTCGATAGAATCTCGTCTTGAAATCTTAAGATTCGATTGAATCCTATCTGGAAGTTCGATTAACATGCGTCTTTGGATTCGACAGAATCCCGTCTTAAGATTCGATACAATCTCGCCTTGAGATTTGGTAGAATTGCTTAAGCGGATTCTACAGAATACTTTCTTTGAACTTCAAAATAATCTCGTCTAGCGATTGAAATAAATAGACTTCGAAAAATTCGTGTTATGATGTTCTACGGAATCCCTCCTTGACCGAATTCAGCATTGGAATTTGATAGAATTTCATCTTGAAATCTCATCTAGAGATGAACTAGCCTAAGGCTAAAAATCTCTTAAATAAAGAATTAAAAAAAAAAAAAAAATCTTGAAATCTTACGATTCAATTGAATCCTACCTGGAAATTTGATTGAAACGTGTCTTAGGATTCGAAAGAATCCCGTTTTGAGATGCGATAGAATCTCGCCTTGAGATTTAAAAGAATTGCTCCAGTGGATTCTGAAGAATCCTTTCTTTGACTCGGTAGAATATCTCTTTGAATTTTGAGAGAATTTCGTCTACCCTCCCCTTGGCTAGTTTTTTAACCTGGACGTTGGTGGGCGGGCCTAATCTTATGCTTCATAGTGGAGCGTTGGAGACGGTTGGTTTAGGTCCGGCATCGTTGGCTCATGCCGTAACAGAATAGCGTCATGAGCATGCGATGAGGATTACTGAGCTTCCCCTCTCTGATGAACCATTGCATAAGAGAACCAAAGTTCTAGCCTGAAGTGATAGTATCACACTTGTTACTCCTTTATTTGAAAGCCGCGTTGTAGTACGCTTACGTATAGGCACTGACGTTGGGTGCGATACTGGCGGGTTTTGCCGCAAATCACTCTTATTTTATTTATTTTTACGCAGATAGATTTATTTAGGTTTGCAAGGGAATTATACTATTGAAATATTTCAGAAAGTGCCCAACAGTGCTCCTTCTACTTGCGTGTCAAGCTTTCGTTGTTGTTTTCATTGAGGTATTACTCAGGGAACAATGTTAAACACCATTTTTGTACATGGTTTTGCAACTTATCTTATATGTGCTTCATTTTGATTTGGGATAAGTGTTTGAACTATGGCTCGGGATTTCCACTGTGGCGTGCTTCTATTGTGACATAACCATACGTTTTTTTGTGGTGCGACATAGTGGAAACGTGTGAGCGTAGTTGAAGCATATACCCTATGTAATTTAAAAATCAGCTAGGAAACTAACTTCAAAGTGAAGCATTTTAGTCACTTGAAGGTGTCACCTGGGACGAACTAATATATATTAAATATAGGTCAAAGTCAAAAACAACTTGAAACACGTTAAATTTTAGATTACATTTGCAAGTGCAGGTACTTAATAAAGCATGGTAGGTAGATTAGAGATTTCAATTATTTATTAAATTACACTAGAGATATCATAATCATCAAACGAATTTAAATAAGAAAATTTAGACAGCCTAGTAGCATTAAGTGGATTAACAGAAGAGTTAGGATGCGGAGGGTCCGCTTAGGGAAGCAACTAGCCTTTAAAGCAACTGGCAACTAGCCTTTTCATGTATTGTCTGTTTATTTTGATTATTGCTTTAAAATATCAATTTGGTATATATGTGAAAGGATGAATCAGTGGGAGATGGATTTTCGGTTTCTTTACATTTTGCATCACTATATGTAATTTCCTCAAAACCCCCCAATAACCGGCCTCTTCAATCCCTTCCTTTTCCCATGGCGTTCAAGTGGTCCGCATAGACTATTCAGCCATTACCCGTCCTTTATCCTCGGCTTTGGATTGACTTGCGCTCCCATTGCCCCACCAAACGCTGCAAAATGAAAATGAAAATGAAATTTGAGAGAATTTCGTCTAGCGATTAAAATAAATAGGCTTCGAAAAAATCTCGTCTTGAGGCTCTACGGAATCCCTCCTTGGAATTCGACTGAATTCAGCATTTGAATTTAATAGAATCTCG